CGTAGATATGGTGACGGTGATGACGTGGAAGGAGGTGAATCTAACATGGCGGGTTTGGGGATTCTTGTTATGTCCTGGTCTGTGGGTGGTGGTTTGTGGTGTGGTGTGGGGGTTGTGGTGTGGTGGTTGTTGTGTGGCTTGGTGATGGTGATGAACGGGGATGGTGGTGGTTTTCACGACAACGACAGGTGTGGAGATGGTGGAGGTGGCGGGTTTGGATTTTTTTTTGTTGGATGGTGGTTGTGGTACGATGATGTGCAGTGTGGTGATGTCCGTATTGTTGGCGGCGATGGGGTTGGTGGTGGATCTAGTGGTGGTGATGGTGGTAGTTTTTTTTGGTGTGTTTGGTGGTGGCGATGGATCTGGTAGCGACTATTTTGTTGGTGGTGGTGTTGGTGTTGGTGGCGACGGGGTGAGGGTGGTTGCAAGAGACGGTGGTGGCAGTGGAGTTGGTGGTGGTGACCGACTATTTGACTTGTGACTTTAAAATTCAATCATTTATGACCAAAAAAAGTAATATGTAACTATCAAATTTGAAAATATATAACCTGTGACTTATAATTTTTTGGATTTGTGACTTATAATTTTTCGATCCGTGATCTCGACATAATCTGGGACCTATCAAAATTATGATTTGTGACATCAAAAAAATCTGTAACCAATTAATTTCATGATATATGACCGGTAAATAAATATGTGACCTATGATTGTGAATCTGTGACCATTAATTGTATAATTGTGACTTTATTATTATTATTATTATTATTATTATTATTTAATATAAATATTTTTAATTAATTAGTGAAAACCTGATTATTGCATTAATGAAACTTGTAACTTCCAAGCACAACATTTAGACTTAGGAATATATAAATTAGCAAACTCTCATATCATATTCTCTTCACCTTATATCCGAAACTAAAAAATTCCATATCCTCTAGATCAAATCAATTACAAAATTCATCTTTCTGGAGAAATCAAGAGGAAGATTCAAGAAATTATTGAAGACCAAGACAAGGTTTTGGGTTTCTTGATGTTGAAGATCAAAATTGAAAAGATTGATCAGATTTTTTTGTTTCTAACATAAATGGGTGATGTGTATACCATTTAAAAAAAAAAAATTTTCTTTCAAATTCTAATTCTTCACCATGTTTATTGACTAGATTATTCATTAGGATGAATGATATAGCTATTTTACTTATTTTCATTTTTTTAATCATTATTTTGGATCTTTCTTCTATAAGTGTGTTAAATTAGCATGGTTGATTTATTTTCATGTTTGTTAATAAGAATTAAATTAATGATATTTGTTACATGTTAGAATACACAATGTTGATATTTATTTATGCTCTTAAACATCAATCTTGTCAAACTATTAATCAATATAGGAACGTTTGATAATTAGAGGTATGTTAACTAGTACTCAAGAGATGACATTAATAATCATATTGAATATAGCAATTTTCTCTCACTACGAGATTTACGTTCATTAATTGTTGCAAGTTTTCACTATAAACACTATCAACAAATAAGAATTATTTTAGTAATAATGTGGAATGTTTGGTACCTTGATGTCGGCTCTTCGCCATCAACACTATTTTTCTAAAAAAATAACTTTGATGAGTATTTTTTTTTTAAAATTAGTTTTAAAACATCAGGGGAATTTATGTAAACTATCCTTCAAAAAACCACACTATTCTAATCTTTGCGTTTAACTGATTTGAAATTGATGAGCAAACCCTTGTCGATATTGACATAAGCAGCATTAAATATGGGGAATAGTAATTTAGCACCATTTAGTTAGTGGGGATTGGTGTTGGATTTAGTTATGGACCCTTGATAAAAAAATAATTGCAAGTTTGATAATATGGACATGACACTATAAATCATGTTGTTAATTCAATACCCAAGCCTAGAAGACTGTAGAAGAAGTTCCAAAATTCAACATTATTAAAGAAGTTATCAAGTGTTACATTGAGATACCGACATTCATATTTTTAGTTCTTTCAAAGTGATAGTACGTTAATTTTGTCTTGTTTACATGTTTTATGCACCAAGCCAAGTTAGATTCCTCTTTGGCATAAAAAGTAGAAAGGAGGCTTTATAAAAGTGCCGTAATGCATTGGAACGATGAATCCTATGCAAGAGTGGACATCGGAAGGAACAAATGGAGGTAAAACATGATAACAAATGAAGTATGATTTTGTCAAATGAGTCATAGCTCGCTAGAGCGAGGATATTCAAATTTTGCACTTTTGTCAAAGTAATCGCTCTGTTGAGCAAGTGCAAGATTTATTTAGTTGATACGTTTTTGAAGAGGAACCTCGATATATTATGTGCATGAATGCAGGTTTATAAACCTTCTTGTACATCCTTGAACTCACGTTTCAAATTAGAGAAAAACACAAAATATTGTCTCAAAGAGTATTACACTCCAGGGTTTTGAAGATCAAGCAAGAAGACAACGAAGTGGAACAAGATTGAACTTTCGATTGCAAGTTGCCCAATTGATATTAACATTCAACTTAAATCTCTTTTAAAGGAGAAGTTTTGAGCTCGACTAATTGGGGGCATGAAAATCCACGTTGGAGCTTCATCCAGTGAATAGCACTGATGAGAGATCCCAGTGCCTTATTCGAATCTCTGAGTTATTTGTTATATATTTTAGTTTACCAATCTTAAAAAATGAGTGTTCAGATAAAAGGCAAGGTTGCACTACAAGAAAAATCGGTCGTCAATTCAAAACTTTTACGACCAATTATTCAGTTGGAAAAATATTATATTTAATGATGACCAAATATATTTTTAGTCATTGAATATACTCGTCAACACCTATTTGCCAACCAATTGATTTTAGACATCGAATGTAATCAACAACTAATAATGTATATTCTACGACTAATTATATGATTGTTGAAAGTGATATTTCTTGTAGTGTTGGTTAATTTCAATACTTAATAATGCAATTTTCATAAAACGATACTCTACTCATACACTTTATTACTTGATCTATACATACTTTATTTTATTACTTGTTCTTTACATATCATACAACACAAATAAGTTGGACAACTCTAGTGATTTTATTTATAAAAATATAACACAATCGTGATTAAGCAATGGTTTTGTTCTGTCCAGAGATAAAATGAGAATGTACTGTATAAACAAAGTTAATTAGCACTGCTTCAAACAGAAAAAAAATATATTGTGACCTCAATATTACGTGCTAAAATTGTGTAATCAGTTAAAAATTGTAAGTAATTGTCATATTACCGTGTAAGAAAGACTTCCAAAATAATTAACATCATGTAAGAAAGTCAAATGTTGGTTATTAGCATTATAAAAAAAATCTTGAGATGAAATGATTTAAGGAAGCACTTGCTTTATCTATCAATCTTGTCTTATTGTTTGAACTTCTATTATTGGATTATCTTTTTTCATAAACTTTTCTTTACACCACGAGTGTGCATTAAAATGTTTTATTTAAAAGCATAAATAGTAAAAGATATCAAGAAGTCGTTTATTTATAATAGAGCAACGAGATGATTTTCAATTTCTTGAAAATTAATGTTAAAAGAGGTTCACTTACGATTGATTTTGTATTCAACGCGTTCGCTAGTATGTGGATTAGATTTATTATTTCGTTAAAAGATACGTGAATTTTTTCAGAATGAATAGTGATGAGACTTAAACATCATGGACTACACCTAACCTAAAACTCCAAAGCAATAATGAAAAAAACGCGAAATAGAAGTACTCGTCGTGCATACACATGGATTTCTCTCGTGATATTTATGTTCACTCATTATCATAATCACGTTCAACCAATAAATTTTACTTTGAAAATATAGTTTGCTAATCTTTCTCGAGAATTCACATCAACGAGAAGGTTTGGTACATTGATGACAACTCTTCGCCATTTTGGGGTCGTAGCACGAGGGTGGTTAAATATCTATTGAACCAAACAACATAATTAAATGATAAACCTCTGATTGTCGAGCAATTGACAAGTTTTACAGCTCAGATATATAAGTGAACAATATAATTATAATAAGCACAATTAATATTGAATTTAAAGACACATTCTATATATCAACTTAAATCCCGGTATTTAAAAGTTTAGTATTTAAATAAAAGTATATAATTCATCTGCACAATACATAATTTTCTTGTTCATAAACTTTACATATAAAATTATATTGCTATCTTTGGAAATTGAAACAAAAAAGTGATAAAAATAAAAATAAAGTAATCATGCCAGTCTCCCATTAAGATTAATTAATTAACATTCAAATTAAAAAGTCCAAATTTACAATGAGAGCAAGCTGACCCTCTCCTCTTTCTTTAAAGATTATCGTTCCAAATGGACATATCACCTAAGTGATTAAACCCCATTAGAAGAAATAATCATCTTTTCATTTTGTTTCACGAAATGCATGATCACAAGTCATGAAATTCAGTGAAAAAAATGTACTTTTTTTGGGAGGGTGGGGGTAAGACTTACGAGATAAAAAATTATATTTCTTTACGTGCAAGTCAAATTCATTTCTTAATCAAAGAGCCAAAATCTTACATGCTTTCAATAAAAAAGAGACGTTATGAAGATAAGATTAGAATCCGTAACCTTGATGTAACAAATTTCTTTGACATCTCTGCATCGGAAATAAATCTCGATTCATTTAGTTGGGGTGTGGGCCCATTTTAATATCAATGCAAATCTCTAACTAATCTCTATTTCATATAACATGTTTACATGTATCAATGTTATTACAAACGCTTTGGAATTACTGAAAATGACAAAATACAAACATCATGATAATCTATGTATGCATACATTTATACAACCCACGTTTGGCCCTTTTATTTCCCATCCTTTAACCTCACCTAACTAATTTCTCTGGCTACTTTCAGTCGAAAGTTGCTTCCGGCGCAAGGTTCTCAACTGTAGATACAAACCCTACACACATGTTTGGTATTCTATGCTAAATATTGCCAAAAAAAAAAAAAAATGAAAATTGTGAAATATTCGTTTGTTTCCGAGATCATTACTGTTCTGTTCAGTGTACTTGTTTACTGTACTTGAAAGTCGAGAAAAGGAAACGAGGAAACATCCTTCATTAACTCCTCTAAATCCCATTCTCCCATAGCCATTCTTAGTTCATCTCCTTCCCAACACAAACCCTCAATTCTCACATTATTTTCTCCTAATTTGTTGTTTATGTTATTATTATTATTATTATTGAATTGATTATAGTTAATTATATTATTCATATTATTCATGACGTTAGCATTACTCTTTTCGACTGAATTTCCCATTCTGCCACTCTGTTCAATGTTTACACTCCCTAATGGTGGAACCATAAACTGTCCTTCAAAGTCAATGTTCCCACCAAACATCCCACCTTGCGCATTGCATGGTTGTACATCAAAGTACGACCCGGCAATGCCTGTCGGCGGCTGATCAATAATAGGCAATATTGGATCAAGATTCATGGGATTTAAGGCCATGTTTGGCAGCTGCCATGTTGATGACGATAAAGCTGAAGAAGAAGATGATGGGTGCATGCACGCCCCCATCATGTTGTGTTCTTGATTTGATATCAACCGTCCATTAATGCCATCTCTTGCTTGATCCATTGATGAATCACTTGTATTTGGTGATCTTGATGATGATGATGAAATATTCTTGAGCCTCTTCTTTATTGTAGAATTCCAGAAATTTTTAATTTCATTATCAGTACGTCCAGGCAAACGTGCTGCAATCTGAGACCACCTAATTTTAATCAGGAAAAAAAGGTTAATCAGTTAATTAACAGATAATTGGTAAAATAATTGATTATACATGTACGAGGTATTTTGTTTATTGCATGCATTGCATGAAAATTGAGTTTTCAAGAACCCACAAATATATCTCTTAGTTTTCTGCTTCTCTATAATTTTTACATTTGAATTTGTTTTGATGTAAAAGAGTGAGGGTTATATAAGAAGACAAGACAGTTCCAAGAAGTTAAAAAATAAAAATAAAAAAGTTGCAGAAGAGAGAGAAAGGAATGTGAAATGATTATGATGATCACGATGGTGATGGTTGTGGGGTTTTGTTGCTTAGAAAGGGGGAATGAAGGGGTGGGGGCAGGATGGGGTGAGGTAGGGTTGGTGGTTGATTTGTCTTGTGGCAACGGTTTGGAGAGAGATAGGTGGTCGTCTTGTCTTTGAATCCATATCTTGTCTCTTACAATTTTGCTCATTCTTCAATAGCAAGGGAAAGATTAGAATATGCTTGATATATTTTACTACATGCTATATATAGACGTGTAATTATGACATGGTTGATATATTAATAGTATATATGAACGAGGAAGACGGTTGTTTTACGTGAAATGTTATTGTGTCGAATTTGATTTTTATTGATTTTGGTTCATTTTGTTGTTTTAGGAAGAAATCCGAGTATGAGGTTCATTGATGAAAGAAATCTTGAAAATGAGAGGAATTGACATGTTTTGAACGACCAAAATTGGAATTTTGAAAACACGTGTAATTATGACATGGTTGATATATTAATAGTATATATGAACGAGGAAGACGGTTGTTTTACGTGAAATGTTATTGTGTCGAATTTGATTTTTATTGATTTTGGTTCATTTTGTTGTTTTAGGAAGAAATCCGAGTATGAGGTTCATTGATGAAAGAAATCTTGAAAATGAGAGGAATTGACATGTTTTGAACGACCAAAATTGGAATTTTGAAAACACATAAGTTCTAGTTTCTCCATGGTTTTCTAACTTGTTACTAAAATTACATTTATGACCTATTAATGAGATTATAGTGAAAATAACAGTGGATTTCTTGAAATTTGTGAAATATTTGTGAGTAGTAGTTGTGAATATGTGATTGAAATTAACGTTTGATTTTAACTCTAAATTATGATGAGGTTATTAATTTTTACAAACGCAAATAGTCTGTTTTTGCGGTATGTCCTATGTGTACGTCATAAATGGATGTCTTAAAAAGATATTTATGTTGTAATGAAGCACTAAGTTTCGCATAGTACGTGTCACTACAACATAAATCATCATTCAGTTAATTTAGATTGGACCAAGGAAGATAAGTGATGAAAATAATTCGATAGTCTTCCTACTCCTATCTATTATTGTTGTTGTTGTTATAAAGTCTCAAAATGCTAACTTAATGACTAGAGTAGCTTATGACCATCCCCGAATCTACATCATGTCGATCTCCACAACTCCTCTCCCCTCAAATGGCGACCTTTTATGTTCATAGTTTTATAACCATTAAAATCGTTTTTCGTCTAGAGAGTTTATCATCACAAAATATTCAATCAAAAATCTCAAATTCATATATTCATTTTGATTTTCCATGCACGTCTAGAAATATATCTTATGTATCCACATTGACTAAATTTTGGACGTGAGTGTGGTACCACTTGTTGGATCTTATGTATGATTTCATCTCAAGCTAAACTATCGTGATAATAGCCAAATTCCCCTATAAATTCAGGAGCATCCTGATATCCAGACAACGTAGAACTTTTACTTGTACATCTTCGACGACACTAATCGAGTCCCACATAAAATGGCAATAATAACATAATTATTCGTGATCAATCCAAAAATGATTGCTTCAATTAAATATATTTTCTTGTCTCTCTCCCTCGTCTCACTCTAGTTTGTATTTGTCATGTATCCACACGTGTATATGAAGAAACGAAAGTACATGATGAAATAATATGATTATGATGCACATTTGTCGCATTTTAAAGGCATTGAAATCATCCTATCTTCATGACAAAACGGGGCCAGAATATTGATACTTTCAGTTCAATGAAGAGAAAAGAAATGCAATATTTGAAAAAGCGTATCGGAATTTTTTCTAACCGGCAAAGGGACAAAACCAAAAAAGGCCGTACACTTTATAAATTGTACTGAATGGATTAACAAGAAACATGAATGCCGTGCAAAAGATGACCATTTATCATTTTCCAACCAATAAAAAATACTAGCTAAAATATGGATAAGAAAGTTAAAAATTAAAACTCGATGAGTTAAACATTTTTCATTGTGGGATCATAAACTAAGTTATAATTTTTAATATTTATTTTTTTGAAAACAACGTAACAATTAGTTAAGGCTCGAGAGGTGGCTAAACATGTGATTGCAATCGTCCTTGATGAATTGAGAATAACACACGTTAGACTTTGATGAAATTGACAACTTTAGATTAAGAATGAGAAATTACCTAGTCATTTCAAATTTGGACAATGCTAAAAAGAGGAGAGAAATTTAAATTTTGGAAAAAAGTAAAAAGAAATTCCATAATTTTGTGGGGTTGGCTCCGCCACTGTTCGAGCATACATAATCTTCGAAGTACTGGACAATATTGAGAAAAAAGGCAAAATATTAGGCCACGGTTGGTTTGTCGTTTTCGAGCCATTTTTCGTTTTCCGTTTTCGAAAACGCGTCTGGTCCGTCGTTTTCGAAAACACATTTTCAAAAACAAGTTAAAATTTATAACTGAAAACGCAAAACGACTTTTTAGCATTTTCAGTGTTTTCAGTTATAAATGTCGAAAACGCTCAAAAAAAAAAAAAAACGGGCCGTTTTCGAGGAAAACTAAAAATCGTTTTGAAAATGAAAATAGAAAATGAAAATGGAAACCAACCACACCCTTATTTACTCTATCATCCAGACGTGTTAAATGTTTCTTATGAAGTTAAGTCATAACCGTTGTTCTAATGATACGATCTTTGCTGGTATAAAATTGGAAAAAAATGGGATCATCATCATATAAGTAATTGTCCATTCTGAGATGAAAAATCCCTTTACCAATCTATTCATTTCTGAAACTCTCATTCAAGGCCAAGTGGCCTTGCTCCACAATCACCATTTTCAAAATGGAAAGTTCCACGCAATGAGAATTATTTTGAAAATTGGAGACGGTTAGAAATTCATGATTTGACGGGTAAACTTCATATTTATATTATATTCCCTGAAAATAAAACGTAGAAAGAGCAGACGGTAGTCATTTTCTTGAATGGGACACGACTGAGTGAGTAATCACTTTAATTTGTTATAACTTAATATTAAACAATTTGGCCTTTGCTTTGGTACCAAAAAAGTATGCAAGAAACAATATGAAACAGCGTAATTGAATTGTGAGTTAAGCAAAAGCTTGCATGATTAATTGTTGCCGTCAAAACTTCAGTTATCAGCTGAAATACGTTCTCAAGCCACATATTTGACACATGATCTATTAACACATAGAGCGACATGTTTACTCGGCACAACCCAATTTTGAGTATATATTCAAGATAATATCTAAATTATATACATGTGATTCTTTCCATTAACTTAAGTCTTTAGATTTAGTGTTTCAACGTGATATCAGAGCAAGAAAAGGATTTACCGCCACCTGTTTAATGAAATTGTGCATGTATTATGCTTTGATAAGAAAAATGAACCTTGCAAACTGCATACAAACTTTTAGATCGAGTGGTTTCCATGGTCAGCTTGGCTTCAATTATACACAGTTTATGGGCTTTTATCTTGCTTAAGATTTCTTCTTCCAAAAAAGGCCAACATAAACTAACCCACATAGGTCTTGGCCTCTAAATCAGGGTCGGCATAAAGTTGGATTAGTGGACAAGACATTTGACTCCTTTAGCTGGATAAGAAGATAAAGAAGAAAGTGTGACTCTACATCGGAGTAAACCAACTCAAATGAGCCTTGGGCCTCTAAATCTGGTGCTGGCTCGTCCCAACTCTAGGGTTGGATGGTATTGTGACACCTCTAGATGGACAACAAGATGAAAGTGGTCATGCAGATAGCTATATATTAAGCCCCAATTTCGAAAACTACTTTTTTTTATCTCGTTTTCAATCACACATTTTTATAATAATATTTTGCACGTAAACCCAAATTTTCTCTACTTTTTAACTACTCCAAAAAATCGCTATTCTAAAACTAATTTCCCCCAAAAAATACTCTCTTTAATGGACATCAAAAAAGGGGCTAAATTTCAGAAATATTATTCATTTTGGGGAATAGAATTTTGACTTAAAATAATGGAACTCTTTTTCCGGAATTCATATACATTAGCACAACCTGAAGATGCAAACAAGATGGCAAAATCCAGTATCCAGTAACATTAATATTGATGACTTCGATCCTCAGACAAATTTAGGAAATATTTTGAAATATAACGTGCAAACGGCAATGGGTGGCACCTGTAGGCGGTAGTATAGTGTGTATATATATACACACACATCAACTCTGTGCTATAGTTTTCTTTGTAGGAAATAAAAAAAAGTAGATTCTTGAATCTTCATGTTGAAATCAATGAAAAAAATAAAATAAATGCGGAAGCGTACCTTGATCCATAGATCTAAGTTTTCTGAAATCGATTATGATCTTCCAACTGCTACGTGATTTCTTGAAATATGTTCTTTGTTGATGGGGATGCAGAGAATTCTGAAAGTCACGTGCAATTGCGGACCACGACTCATATTAAATAATTAATTATTATCTTTCAATTATTTCAAATTGGCCCCTCAACAATTTAAAATAATTATTCTGGTTTCCACACTTTGATTCCATGAAAATTAATACGCATTAGTCCAAAATTAAACCTAATGAATCACCTTATTGACTAAACCTTAAAGATTCACACATTTTAATACATACACGTGTGGCCCCATATGACAGAATTTCTCCAACAATCTCCCACTGAGCCACACATGTGATGTAATATTATAAATGTGTGCAACTTTATGGGCTCAAACTTTTGCTATGGTATTTCCAAACAATCTCGTCCATTAGTCATATTGATGTAGGATCAAAGCGATTTTCATCACATTTAGCGTGACTAAATCCATCAATGGTCACGCACACCCATACAACCAAATGACATAGATCAATCATGGGAGTTTAGCATGAAAATTACATGTTATGTGATCCGAAAATGTCTATTTCCAACTGATCCAACCTTATTTCTTGAGTGAGATCAATACTGAACATAATAACAGAGTGGAATGAACTGAATACTTCATTTCTCTACAGAAAAAATATCCAAATGCACAAATGTGTCCAAAGTAAACATAAAGCAACAAGAATACAAATTCTCACTAAAACATGATATCTTCAAGAAATACAACACCCATGCGAGCAGTGTGCTCATAAAAGACTTTGGGTGGTAATCCCTTAGTGAGCGGATCCGCAATCATGGAGTTTATTCCAATGTGCTCTATAAAAATCTGTCCACTCTGTACTCTTTCCTTCACAACTAGGAACCTAATGTTAATATATTTTGACTTCGATGAGCTCTTGTTGTTGTTAGAATATAGAACTGTCGAGTTATTGTCACAATTTAACTTTAGTAGTCTTTCTATTCCATTTAGAATGCACAGTCCAGTGACAAAATTTCGTAGCCATATTCCATGGTTAGATGCCTCATAACATGCTACAAACTCTGCTGCCATGGTAGAATAAGCTATTAGTGTTTTCTTGGCACTCTTTCAAGAAATAGCTCCTCCAGCCAGCAGATAGATATAGCCCGATGTGGATCTTCTACTGTCTTGACACCCAGCAAAATTAGAATCGGAGTACCCTATGATCTCTAACTGGTCCGATCTGCTATATGTGAGCATATAATCCTTTGTTCTCTTTAAATACCTCATAACCCCTTTGGCTGCTTTCTAATGATCCATCCCAGGGTTACTTAAATATCTGCTTAGCACTCTAACAATGAATGCAATGTCCAGATGTGTACAAACTTGAGCATACATCAGACCTCTAATAGCTGATGCATAGGGAATCTTTTGCATTTCCTTAGCTTCAAGGTCATTTTGTGGGCATTGTTTGAGACTAAATTTGTCTCCCTAAGTGACAGGGGTATCACCTGGTTTACAGTCTTGCATGTCAAACCTCTTAAATACTTTATCGATATAGCTCTTTTGTGACAGTCCAAGAATACCTTGAGAGCGATCCCGATGTATCTGGATCCCTAATACAAGAGAGGCGTCATCAAGATCTTTCATCTCAAAATTTCTTGATAAAAATCTCTTGATTTTGTACAACATGCCTATATCGTTAATGGCAAGCAGTATGTCATCAACATACAAAACTAGGAAAATATGCTACTCCCACTGAACTTGTAATACACACAATCATCAACGACATTCATTTCAAAATCAAATGAGATAATGACTTGATGAAATTTGTGGTACCATTGACGGGAAGCTTGCTTGAGCTCATAGATGAATTTCTTTAATTTGCAAACCATATTCTTCGGGTCTCCTGACACGAAGTTTTCTGGTTGCACCATATAGATCGTCTCATCAATGTCGCCATTGAGAAATGCCGTCTTAACATCCATCTGATGTAACTCAAGATCAAAGTGTGCAACAAGTGCCATAATTGTCTTGAAAGAGTCTTTCGTTGAAACTGGAGAGAAAGTCTCTTTGAAATCAATGTCTTCCTTTTGGGTAAAGCCTTTTAGCCACAAGACGAGCCTTATATCTTTCCACATTACCATTTGAATCCCTCTTGGTTTTAAAAATTCATTTGCAACCAATGGACTTCACACCTTCATGTAACGGGATAAGATCTCAAACTTTATTGTCTTGCATAGACTCGTGCTCCTCATTAATGGCATCAATCCACTTTTGAGAGTTAGAACCCAGCATGACCTGATGGAAATTGATTGGATCATCTTTCACCATTCCATTATTTTCCTCATGTTCTTAGAGAAATACTACAAAATCATCCGGAATAGCATTTTTCCTCTCTTTCGTGGATCTATTTAATGGCATTGGTTCTTGAGGTTGTTGAGTTTGTACTTTTGGAATAATTGCCTCATTTTGGATGGAAGTTCTTCAACATTGTCTCGTTGAGGTTCTGGATATGCTTCTTGATCAACAACAGTTATAGAAACCTGTACATTGTCAAAAACAATAGTAGGAATCAAAATCGATCATTCCTCAACTTCTTTCTAAAAGACAATGTCTCTAATCTTGTTTCTCCCCCCAAACTCAACATCCTCAAAAAATGTTGTGGTTCCCGTTTCGAAAATTGACTTAATTGTGGGATCATAAAATTTATAGCCCTTAGATTGCTCAGAGTAACTAATAAAATAACTGCTAACTGTTTTGGAGTCCAATTTCTTTTTATGTGGCCTATAAGGCCTCGCCTCAACTGGACATCTCCAAATGTGAAAATGCTTTAGACTAGGTTTTCTACCTGTCCAAAGCTCATAAGATGTTTTAGCAGCAGCCTTAGTTGGTACTCTGTTCAGAATATAAGCTGCAGTCTTTAATGCCTCTCCCCAGAGTGATTTTGGCAAGGTGGAATGAATTATCATACTCCTTATCATGTCTTTAAGAGTTCTGTTTCATCTTTCAGCTACACCATTCATGCTAGGCAAGGCATGGTGTACTGTGGGACGATTCCACACTCTTTTAGGTATTTAGCAAATGATCCTGGACATTGTTCACCTGAACCGTCATATCTGCCGTAGTACTTACTACTACGGTCAGACCTAACGCTCTTTATCCTTTTGTTGAGTTGAGTCTTAACCTCAGATTTAAAAGTTTTGAACACGTCCAGTGACTCAGACTTTTCATGGATGAGATATAGGTACCCATAATGTGAGTAATCGTCTATGAATGATATAAAATATTGTTGATCATCTCAAGAAGCCGTAGGAAATGTCCCACAAATATTTGTGTGTATCAATTCTAAAACGTCTGAAGATCTGTTAGCACCCAATCTCCTTGTTTTAGTCTGTTTTATCTTGATACAATCAATACATATATTAAAATCTGTGAAGTCAAGAGAATCCAAAATATCATCTGACACAAGTCGCTCAATTCTAGCTTTTAAGATGTGACCAAAGCGCTTGTGCCATAATTTTGCTGAATTTTTTTATTTAATTTGCGTTTAGTACCTCGTGATTCAACATGCAAGGTTTCATTATATGATACAATTATATCAAACAAATATAGGTTATCATATTCACATAATGAACCAGTACCAATAATATTGGAATTTAATGAAAGACTAAATTGATTGTTTTCAAATGAACAACAATATCCAAATTTATCCAACAAAGAAATAGAAATTAAATTCCGTCTAAAAGACGGCACAACAAAAGTGTCTTGCAAATCCAAATAATAACCAGTTCCCAATAATAACCTAAAAGTGCCTATTGCATCAACTTCCACCGATTTGCCATCACCCACATAGATATATCTTTCACCATCACTTGATTTTCGGTAGCTCGGGCAGCCCTGCATAGAAACACTTATGTGAGTAGTAGCACCAAAATCCATCCACCAAGTGTTTCTAGGTACTGAAACTAAATTATTCTCAGAACAAACCAAAGTAAAAATTGTACCTTTCTTTGCACACCATGCATGATATTTGGCATAGACATTCTTCACGTGTCCAGCCTTATTACAAAAGAAACAAGTTCATTTATCTTTTTTTTTTTGTTTCTTTTGTGCTGGACTCTTAGGAGCAGCTTCATATTCCTTCATCTTTTTCTTGTCCTTATCCTTAGAAGTGTTTGCCAAGTTAGCAACTTCAATTCTATCTTGCTTTAACCTTTCTTCCTCTTGCACACAATATGAAATGAGCTCATTTAGAGACAATTTCTCCTTCTGACAGTTATAACTGGCCTTAAATTGACTGAACTGTGCAGGAAGCGAGATCAATGCCAAATGCACGAGCAAGTCATCAGACAGCTCAAGCTTTAGCCCTTTAAGTTTTGAATCAATGTGAGACATCTCCATGATGTACTCCCTTATGTTCCCCTTGCCTTTATACTTCATTGAAATCAAGCTTTGCAAAAGCATGCTTGTTTCAGCCTTATCATTTTTCGCAAAACATTTCTCAATTTCGGCAAGGAACTCCTTAGCATTAGCTATCTCTTCGGATATTGCACCTCTAAAGGCTTTCGAAATGCCGCGCTTAATGATCATTAGACTCATGCAATTTAAACAATCCCACTTCTCAAAGTTTCTCCTTTTATCAGGAGAACTTTCTTCCATAAGAGGAGTGAGTTGCTCAATCCGAAGTGCAAGGTCAAAATCCATGTAGCCAAGAACAATCAATACGTTCTCCATCCAATCCTTGAAGTTTGTCCCATTAAGCATGAGAATTGAATCGATATTAGTAGATATTGTGGTAGCAAATGAATTAGCTGTAGAGAGAACAAAATGAAAAAATAATCAAGCTCATATCCATATTAAATGAAAAATAAATTCAAATAATGGTAAGTCTCATATCAAGATACATAGTGCAACATTAATATCAAGTCTTTGGACAGTAATATTAATTGCTAGTGGTATTCTCAATACAGTGATCAAACATTGACAATAATTCCTGTCAAATAATGAAACCATCTTTGGATTGATTTATTATTCACATGGAAACCTTATAATTGTCACACATTTACCACCATAGGTGTGTATGTAATTCGGCCAAATATTAACCTTCCTTTGGACCGATTAATACCCACATAAAGAAATACACACACGACATCTAAATATCCCAAACAAACCAATCTACACAAAAGAGGTCACTTTGGTGACATATTGTTTCAATTAGTTTATTCAAAATGTTAGATAACCTTAATTCATTATAAATGATTTACCAAATTATTTGAATTTGATTGTCTCTCATAATTAAACTTTAATTATTCCTCTTAAAAGAGTCCTTAGTACCTTAATTTGAGAAAGAGAATCATTAATTTTGCATTATTAGATGCCTTTAGAAACTTTAGGGACCTAAGGATTAATAATTCAAAACTTTAGGGATCAAATTTTAAAAAAATTAAAATTTTGGGGGCCAATTTTAATTAATTATAAACATTGAGGGCTTCAACTGCAAATTTTAGAAATTCAATGGCCCAAATTTAAGGGCTGAATTATTAAACCCGTAACCTTAAAGATCCAATTTGGATGGATCAGAAACATTCGGGACTGAAATGTAAATTTTTATTTTGAAAAAATAATTAACCCTAATTTTAAATTGCAAGCAAGGACCTAAGATCATCTTATTTTCACCTCAGATACCCACCTCCAGAATCCATTCCAAAATCTCTCTCTCACCCTCCTGCCTTAATGGTACCGGACGCTGCTGCAACCGGGAGTAGCGTCCAGCGCTGCTGCATTTTGCAGCAACGCCAAATGCAGCAGCCGGTTGCAATCGTCAGTGGTACACCCGTCACTGGCCAGAACCAAAAATTTTTTTTAAACGAAAATCAAAATCTGAATTCAGAAAATTTTAACCCAGATCTTGGAAAAATTAAACATGAATATGTGCCAAAAGGTTGTCTCATTCAACAAAGTCAGATCCGTAACTAACGGATCTGAAAATTTCTTTTAAAAAAATTGCAAGATCTTGATCCATAATCACACGATGAAGATCTAAAATTGTAATTCACAATATAAAACTCCAATAACATTAAATTCTTGCAATTTCTCAAAGAAATCAACTATAGATCTATTCTGATATCACTTGTAGGAAATTGAAAATAAGCAGATTCTTGAATCTCCATGTTGAAATCAATTAGAAAACAAAATAAATGCGGAAGTATACCTTGATCCATAAATCTAAGTTTTCTGAAATCAATTATGATCTTCCAACTGTTACGTGATTTCTAGAAATCCGTTCTCTGTTGATGGGGATGTAAAGAATTCTAAAAGTCACGTGCAATTGGAGACCACGACCTATATTAAATAATTAATTATTATCTTTCAATTATTTCAAATTGGCCCCTCAACAATTTAAAATATTTATTCCGGTCTCCACACTTTGATTCCATGAAAATTAATACCCATTAGTCAAAAATAAAACCCAATGGATCACCTTATTGACTAAACCTTAAAAATAGCATCACACATTTTAATATATACACGTGTGGCCCCATACGACATAATTTCTCCAACATTCTTGCTTATGACTGGCAGCCCACAACAGACTCCAAAAGCAAATACATTACCTTTCAACAACCAGAGGCAAAGTTCATTATGAAAGTGCCGAGGTTCTCTGCCACAACGGACATCCCAAAATAGTGCTTCCATGAACAGCAAGATAGGTAGCATTCAACCTGAGAGTCAATGGTGTAATTGTTTTCAGCAAAAAGATCTTCCAAAGCCATTATAGGTTAATGTTACTAATATATTAAGCACATCCACACTTTTTATTTAGAGCATGTTTGGCTATAAAAGTTACTGAAAACATATTTGGATAAGTTACCTTTTTCTTACTTTTAATAACTTTTTTTTTTTTTTTTTTGGAAATTTTTTTTTTTTTTTTAAATAAAAAAACAAGAAATTTACTTGTAATAGTATATTCTTTAAGCTTAGCCAGACATGTTCTAATTCTTTTGAACCCTTTTTTTTTTTTTTTGGAAATTTTCTTTTTATGATTAAATAAAAAAACAAGAAATTTACTTGTAATAGTATATTCTTTAAGCTTAGCCAGACATGTTCTAATTCTTTTGAGCCCCATTTTTTGTATAGAATGCACTTTGTAATAGTAGAATAATGAAGAATGTGTGGATAAAAGATAAGAAAAAGTTTTAGGTTTACGTGTAATATTATTTTTCTGAAGAATGTGTGATCGAAGAGAAGATAGAAAAATATATTTTGAGAAAAATGGAAATCAAACGAGGGCTAAAATCCCATGGAAGAGGTTTTACTTGTCGGCATCGGGCTTCGTCAGAGGATCGTGAATTTCCTCTCTATGTTCCATAGTTGACACAACGCCCAACATAGCTGCCATATCCTGAGCACCTTCAGCCTATAATGGAACAAATATTTAAAAATGCTTAAAAGGTATCAATGGGTTACTACTAGCAACTACTATCTACTTTTACAAGATAAACATTTCAAGTTTATTCCCAACTTCTAACACTTCTCACATTGAAATGGAAATGGTGAGGATGGTAGTGTTGATTTGGTATCTATCTCTTCCCATAATAAGCATCGTAGGGCTAGAGAAGACTTGTCAAGTTACAATTAAAACAGGGTTAAAGAAAGATATATAGATCCCAATACTGTACGAGTTGAAGTTACTAGTCAGAGTTTTGCTGCTTCAGTGAAGATAACAGTTCAAGTTACATTTGCAATAACACCAAACCACCCGATTTTTCCACTCCTAGTGACATCCATCTCTTTAATTATAAGCAGAAATGTATACCGTAAAGTTGACGTAGAATAGGACAATAAATAAATACGTGTTGAGTGTACTGTAAGTAGCAAGAATATGCGTATGCTGAAGGATCCAGGGTAGCTCCATACAGGGGCGGACCCAGACGACTTGGCTTAGGGGGGCAAAAATAAAATTTATAGGATATCTTCTAATAAAAAAAACTAAGGAAAAAAAAAAAAAAAAAAAAGGTAAGAAAAAATTATTTTTTCCCCAAAATCTAGGGGGTCAATTGCCCCTATAAACCCCCCCCCCCAGGTCCGCCCCTGGCTCCATAAGCATAATAAGCACTCCATTGACTCATTGGATCTGCTGATTGATCCCTGAAAAGTCGAGGAGCATCCAAGAATTAACAAAGATTCAAAACCACAATTTAAGCAAAAGCTTGACCCATTTTACTGCTGGATTCCTTTCCCAAGAAAGGTTAACTACTTGTTGACCAATCAGGGTACCTTGCATCCTCTGGATTGATTCTTCTGCGGATGTCCTATGAAGATGAGCATCAACAGCAAACGGTACCAATTGATGATATGCCAAAGATGATTGAAAGTACTTATAGATACTTTTCATTTGTTATAGATTATCCTGCAATTGAAATAAGAGTTTCATAACATACCTGGTGGCAAAAAGCAAAAAGCCTCAACCCTTGGTTACCGGAATTTTGATAGAAATTATTTCCCTGAATTGCAAAAATATCTGTTTCAGTTCTTCTTCTGTGACATTAGGGTCCAGATTGGGGATAAAAACCTGCAATTGAACAAGGAAATTAGAAAGGAAGACATATGGAACTACAGAAATCAGTGTTTCACTTACAGTAGTGTTATTTATATCGTTATCCACTGGAACTGTTCGCACAGGTGGAGTATAAATTGGAGCTGGATATACTGCAGTCAAAACAAGAAAATAAAATGAACTAACAAGAAAATTGTGAAATGGCCAATAAAGTTTTAATGAGAAGTCACTATGATTTTGAACTAGAGTGAATTGAGTTCAAATGAAACGTAAACTTCAGAGATTGTTGTGGTGGCCCAAAGGTGTACAAGCATAGGACAGGCATCACCACTGCCACATTTGAAGGGCATTTTAAAGCACTTTACTCGAAGGATTGTGTAGTGTTGTAGATGCACCTTCCATTATGCAAACCGTAAAATGAGCAAAAATCAGAAGCTGCTTAGGAACAAGGATAGGGACGACGCTAGTCCTGTCTTAGCAATATGTATACGCATTTCACCTCCAACTATAAAATAAAAAAAATAAAAATAAAAAAATCAGAATGAGATGTGTAATTTTCAGACTTTATGACCTGATACAGTGCAATGAATATATATAAAAAGAATATCCATGGATTTATGGTGCTTAGATGGTGGTACGTATCTTCACCTTTAGGTGCAGCATACTGCTGTTGAACACCAATTGCTGATTTCTTAGGAGTCGCTGCACTAATGCGCATGGGCCTAGTAGAGCAATATACACCATTCATCTCAGTCATGGCTCGGTTCCTTTCTTTTTCATCTGCAAATCCTTGGAGCGGCCTGTGTTTGGATCAGTCACAACCTTGGCCCCTCTACCCGAGGAATAATGGGTTTGAAAAGTCTCTTGCAACAAATAATCTGTGACGTCTGGAGCTAGATCCCCAACAAAATAGAGTGCTCCGGTGCAGTATCAATTCGCTTTTCTCCTATCCCAAATGATGCCCAATTCAACCGAAAAGTTAGCTCGGTCCCAGGAATTTGTGTTCCGTATAGGACTGCAGAACCCTTTCAGCAATTTGACGCGAAGTAAGCTCCACAAACCCATATCCCTCGGGCTGGCCTGTGATTTTGTTCCGAATTACTTTAATGGAAATTACCTATATTAGACGCGGTGACCATTTAAATCATTAAACATTAACACCATTGAAAATTAACATCTTTAGTCTTTTCATTCCTCAAACTTAAAAAATTTTCATTTCATTAAAATCAAAACCAAGAGAAATTACAATTTGATAGTGGTACTAATTTGAAGTTTTAACTAAGCATATAAAACCACGTTAAATGTTGGAGTTCACTTTATTTCAAGCTAGCTTCGACCAGTAACTTTATAACGATTTTGTTACATACTAGTACACTTTGTCGATCCATTGGGACCCGTGGCCGACTTAAGCCAGATCACGTGGCATGGTGGCCGAGGCCCTAAGGCCAACGAAGAATACACAACATCCACAAGCGAAGCCTCTGACGTGGTCCAACCGCTTCAGGACCGAAGCGCATTCGGCCGAGGTTGTTCATATCGAGGTCTCTATGCCGAAGCCGAATCTTTGAAGCACCTTTGCCATCACCTCTCCCAAGAGATCTCATCTTACACAAGAATCCTTTTTGAGTGATTAATGGGACGTCCATCATATGGTGCAAGTGTCTTGTCAAATATAACGACGGCTCTGCCAATTAATAAGTGTATAACAGACTAGGTGATAAAAAATGATACCTAGGATTAGGTAAGTAAACTAACAAGATGAGACCAAGTGTACTCCCAACCGAGGGCCATGATTCAACTCGCATTACTATAAATACCCCCACACTCCCATTGTAGAACTAATGCAAAATTCAATACAAGAATAACTGCTACATATTTTACTCTCTTGAAATACAACCGAGTTTACATACAAGTTTAACAAGCCGTGATTGGTAATTATTGTACAATCCTTCTACAAATGCATCGTCGAATTTCGAACGTTGTCGTCCCGTGCCTTTGAGCTACTCCCACGCCCCCATTTTTAGACCGTTCTAGACCCTTTTGTGTCTTAGCTGTTGGACTTTAGCTTAAATGTGCGCAGGTGGGTCCAGTATTTGTTGTCCGTGTGGCCCTAACTGAAAACGAGGTCAACAGATTTCGTTGGTAATTCGTACACCAATAACAAAGAACAAAAACCTTAAAGATTTTAAACTAAACATGTAAATTATTCAAAACCCAATGCACAAATTTATCTGCTTATATCATTATACAAACATGTCATACATTCAGACAGATTCCCACAACAACAAGAGTTAATTGTTCCAATGGTTACTGAACTTAGGTTCATGTCTTTGATTGGCCACTAAACTTTAAAATGTCGGGTTTTTGCTACTGAACTTTATAAAATATCGAGTTTGGTCACTGAACTTAGGTCCATGTCTTCAATTGCTCACTGAAGTATAAAATGTCGAGTTTTGGCCATTGAACTTTGAAAAATATTGTACATTACTCACTGAATTTTGAAAAATATTGTATATTATTCACTACAAACTCGACATTTTTCAAAATTCAACAGTTATACTAGTTAGTAATATACGGCATATTCTAAAGTTCAGTGGTCAAAACTCGACATTTTAAAATCTAGTGAGTAATCGAAGACATGGACCTAAGTTCAGTGACTAAAACTCGACATTTTTTAAAAGTTTAGTGGTTAAAATTCGATATTTTAAAGTTCAGTAACCAATCAAAGACATGAAACTAAATTTAGTGTCCAAAACTCAACATTTTTCAAAGTTCGGTGATCAAAACTCGACATTTTAAAGTTCAGTGGTCAATCAAAGATATAGACTCAAGTTCAGTGATCATTGGAACAATTAACTCCAACAACAAACATGTAAATTACTCAAACCTCCATGCCCAAATTTATCCACCTATAAAACATTATACAAACATGTCATATAATATAAATAAATTCCCACAACACGTATTAAAGGAGTCATAGTTTATATCTAAGTATTTAACTCGTCGGTGTGGGAGAACCAACTGTGGAGGTAGAACTTGTCAGCCTAATAAGGCAATCGCCAATTTAGAGGGTGCGGACTTCTTCGAGGGTGGCGGACTAGTGGTATGGCATCGGTTGAGGTGGCTATGCACTCATCTGTGCCAGTGTTTGCATTTATAGGTGTTCAATTTGAATCGAAGTACTAAATTGCTTAGCTTAGGCACTTTGCCGCTTCAAATTTTGGAGTTTATGCATTTTTCTTCCCTGAATTATGAGAAAACAAAAAAAAAGGGTGGTCTTTTTAGTCATTTTATAGCTAATTTTGTCATGCAGTAGATTAGTGAAGCAGATGACGAGGGATAAACCCTAGTTTAGCCAAAATTGTCATTTGAAGTAGAAAAAAGAGTAGGAATTTAGGGGCGGAGTTAGCAAATGATTAAGGGGTGGGCTAAATTTTAAAAATTTTAAATAAATTCACGCTACAGGAGATCGAGATTAGGAGATTACGCTCATTACATTCGTGACAAATAGTATTAGATACTCAATGAAATACAAGTTTAGATTCTCATCCTAAGAATTCTCACTAGATATTCATACTTTTTCTTGTGAAATACGAAATTGATGATCACCTTAATTAGTATAAACTGATAGAAGTATGATAAACATAAACAAATTATATATATCCAACAATAAAGAAATAAAAAAAAAGTTAATAATTTTATCTATGTTTGATTCTGCTTCTGTAATATACACAATCTTATTATTTATATATAAATAAGTTCTTACAAATATTTTTTTATTATAAGACTAAATATAAAGTAAGTTACTTATTTTGATAGTAACGTCAATTTCGTAGTCAAAATAAGTAAATTTCTTTTCTTATGAGTATGAATAAGTTATATGTGAAAATATTTCTAAAACTAAAAAATTTAATTACTTCAAGCTTGGCCAAACATTTAGTGTCTTTAACTATTAAAATAAGTAATTTATTTTAGTTCTAATCAATACAATTTTATTTATTATAAAAGTTTATAGATAATTATAAGTAAAGTATGCATTAAATAAAAAACTAATTTGGTAATAAAATTATACACATTTCATTAAGTGGAAATTACAGATTCTAATAGATTTGAAATTCACATTTCACAAATCATATGCCATGTTTAGAATTTCTCAAATCAGAAATCTTTTTTAATTAATTAACAAATTTTAAATATTAATAATTGTATTACAAATTTAAATATACATATTCATCCCAAACCCTAAAATTCAATTATCACTCTCCTTTCACTCTCTCTCTTCTCACCCTCTCTACCTACCCCACTCTCATCGTTCGACCTTCCCTGCATTTCCCTCACCGGCTCCAAACCCACCTCATTCGATCACAACAGGTGGCGGCAAGCAGCGAGGACTGGTCGGTGTTGGTATTCGATGTTACCACTCATCTGGTGTTCGGTGTTAGTGCGGTAT